TTTGGGGGGGGGGGGGGGGACGGAATGTAGAGTTGATAGAATTTAAAGAAAGTTGTGAAACTTGCTAAGCCCAGTGGAACTCCTGACTTGTTCACTAGGACCCTTCCCTGTACAGCTTGTTCCATGGAGCTCCCTCATGAAAACCACAGGGTTCAATCACATTTCATACTTAAGAGCTTCAAACAGAGTATGTTTTTTAAGATTTCAAAGTTGACAGACTATCCAAGAAAAAAGTTACTTTTCAAATTACTGTTTTAATGGTTAGAACTCCTAATACTTGCAATTTAAAGTGCACTGGCTAGTTTTACGCACTAGTAAATTAAAGTGTGTGCTTTTTATTGCAATTAAAACCCTCCCCTACACCAAGACACATCAGCAAATACATTTTCCCTCCAAATAAAAAGTAACTAAAAATCAGGCAGAAAAACTGAGCTACATCTTTACACATAAAACTTCTACTGCACAGAGCTCCACCTGAGACACAGCTGTCTACCCTCTCTGCCTTCATTTCCTCAGTTTATCTGTGGAACTAATATACACTTTGAAACAAAGACACACATCCCCATCTTTAACACTGTGTGTAAAACTTAGCACTTAGTGTGTTCCAGGGCTAACAGAGACCTGTAACTCCTGCCCTCCGAACAAGGATTTTATGAGAGGAGAGAAAGCAAAGCTCATACATGGCAGGCACAGAATAATTAATCGACACCACTTGTCTGAAAGGATTTGCTTTCCTAAGCTGTGTGAAGGGCATTCCTGTAGACAGGGAGCTGCTACCATGCTACACACACAAATACATGACTATGCAACACCATCAGGCCACACGCTCCTGTCCTACAAGGCCACAAACTGACACTCAAACTAAGAGAAACCAGACTCAATCCCAGATATAAAGGACCCAAGGGAAAATTTGTAAACCAACATGCCCCACCCACAAAACAACGCTCAAAGACACAAACAACCTGCAGCCACTTCCTTCACATGCATATTCCGCTAGACCCCCACAGTGCCCACTGCAATTTGCTTCCGGCGGGAGAGTTCAAAACAGCAGCACTTCAGCGTGCACAAGACAAATGAAAACACAGGCAAGACAGCACTTGGAAATGACTTTGAGTTTAGTTTCAAAAGTTTATGGGTAAAAAATTAAGCCCTACTCTCTTCTCCCCTTGAAGAGTAAATATCCCCATCACTCCTTTCGCTCTCAAACTAAGTGGTTATGTTAAGGACAGCAATGCTGTAATAACAATAGAACGCAGGTATTTTGAACAACTACTTATCAGCAAGCTCTATTAATAAATGAGTATTTTTCATCAAGTGTCTATTGAGCACCTGCTCAGAGCAGAGGAGATAATTCAATAAGCTAGCAAGAAGACCGAGGGGATGGGCAGGTAAATAGCCAAATACAATACAACAACTGCTCAGAGAACACACAAGAGGCGTGCCTTCTCCTGAGCGCTCAGTCTCTGCACGTGTGTAAGAGTTCTGTGCGGTGTGGAAGAGTTACCCAGAAGGTCACACTCTCATGAGGCCCTTCTGAAGAGTGTCATTCCAGGGTCGGGAGCGCAGGAGTGCTGGGCAAGACATGACCAAAAGACAGCAGACAGGGAAACTGCTGGGGCCCGAGCTCGGAAGTTAGAAGAGAATGCTGAGTGATTAGAAACTGGAAAAGGGGTCCGAGTTCCCACACGTGCTGGGATCAAAGCGTTTGTGGACTTTAATCTTGGAATCTAGCGAGCCCCACAGTGACAGGACCACACCTGTGGTGAAGGCGCTAAACATTTGGCTACAAGGTAAACTTGTGTCTATACTAAGTGACTCTTCAATTTCCTGGTAGGTACAAATTATCTGTGATGATTTCAGGCAAAACTGATTTCCCCTTCCTTCTTCAAAATGCTTATACTTTGACAATTAAATCACCGAAAGTTATAGGCGTGTTCTTACTATTAAAGACCAAAGGGGGAAGGAAAAAAGCTTCAGCTGGCAACTGTTTCCACCAATGATCTTATTAAGCCATGCTCCACATTAAAACGCTTTAAATCTAAAAAAAGATCCTGATGAAAAGAAGCACAATCACAACCAATCAATTCTTCTGCCTCCTACTCGAAATAAAGATTCCCTCCCTCCCCAAGAGAATTTCGTTTGGCAAGTTCTGAAAAACTTAAATTTCAAAGAACACACGTTCGCCTCCTCAATATTCTTAAAAAAACTTTCCCCTACTCAATGGGTCGGAAGCCAGAGCTCCAAAACCGGGTCAAACGAATCCAAACCGACAAAGAGTGACTTTCTCTGCGTCCCAAGTGCTTCTATACCATTCCAGCAAGTCCGGTCCCGTTGTCACCTTCTTCACGTTTCCCCACTCTCAGTTGGGGGTGACGCGGATCATCATCTCTGGAGATGTGGAAGGGGACCGTGTCACTCTGGGAGGACCGGAGCGAGTTCTCGGGACCCGAGACGCCGGCAGAACGAGGGGGACCGGGCCGAAGCGCAGGGGGCGGGGGGAGCCCGGGGCCAGGGAGGCCAGCCCGGGCCAAGGTGCTGGAGCCGCCGTCAGGAGAAGGCACGGAGCGGGGCGGAGGACCGGCCCGGGAGGAGACCAGGAAAGAGGCTCGAGCCCAAACAAAAACAACCCAAAGTTGAGCGCGGCGGAGAGAGCAGATTGGGCGAGACCGTTCACGGCTGCCCATTGGAGAAGAGGGAAAACAGAGTCCCCCAATCGCGAGCGGCGGGGCTGCTCCCCTCGTGCGGCCGCGGGCCGGCCCGGCGCTGCCCGGCGGCCGCTACCGCTCCCTTCCGGCCTCTCACCTCGCCTCTCGCGCGGCCTCGGGGAATCCCGGAGGCAGCCGCTGGCCTGGCGACTCCGCGCCCAGGGTCCTGGCGCCGCGCGTGCCGTCTCCGGTGCCCGGGTGCCCTCACCTCATAGCCCCGGAGCCTCCCCGTCCGCGCCGCAGACGCGTCGCCGCCCCCGGTGAGCCGCTCGGACGCCGCCCGGGAACGGTGGAAGGACACGAAAAGGAGTACCCTCGGACGGGCGGAGGGACACCACTTCAGCTCACGCCTCTTCGGCCGCCTCTGTTGCTTTTACGGGACTGGGGGTTGGGTGGGGGTGGGGGAGGCGGAGAAACCCGAGAAAGAAATGAGTTCCCCCCGCCGGCTGCTTCTCGCGGCGGAGGAACAAAAAAGCGAATTTTGAGAGGACGAGGCCAGTCGTCGCTTCGCTTCGCTCGCGGCGGAGGGATTCGTATTGAGCTGTCGGAAAGGATCCCTCCGCCCCTCGCTGCCCTTTAAATCGCCGCTGGAGGCGGTGTCGCCGCGCGCCCCTCGGGCGCTTCTTGCGCCCTGGGTTTCTGCGTGCGCTCTGGGCTCGCGAGGCTGTCTTCCAACCCTCGGTCCCTGGCGCAGCAGTGCCACTGGGGACCGCTTCTAAGTCAGGACGGGGGTCAGCCGTGGGGGACGGTCAGGCTTCTCGCCGGCTGCGCCGAGAAGAGGTGGCCCCCGTGGAGGCGAGCCTCTTTGTTGTGGGAGTGGGTGTCGTTGGGAGCAGATAACACACTGCATAGACCGTGTGGGCAGCCTGAGTTCACCGCCTCGTGTGGGAGGGAGCGAGACGAGAGCCTGAATCAACCCGGCCACTAGCTGCCTAGCGTCAGCCGGCCATTTCTTGAGCACCTACTGTGCGTCGGGTTTTCGGAGAAACGGGTTTTGCCGATTCACTCCCTCGTTGGGCAGTGCCGGTACCCAAGGATACGGGCCCCCTCCTGGGTCTCAGGCTGGTCGGGAATTTGTTGAGAGGCTCCCGCGGGTCGGGCGCGCGGCCTCACCCTCTGGATCCTGCCTGCGAGGTTGACAATAATGGCTACAGAATAGCAATCATGAAAGGAACAGCCTTTCCTGGATACCAGGCGTCATCCTCAAGCTTTGGTTCCCTAACTCGTTTACAACGACTCCCAGGAGGTGGGGACCGTTTTTTCCCAGTTTATACGTAGGGAGACAGGCATCAAAAGGTGAGGCGACCTCCAATATCAGTCAGGGCTTGAAGCAGAGCCCTTATCCTGGTAAAAAGCGCAGATGCCAAGAAGTTGGGGTTGCCACAAGCGGGCAGATGGCACGGTATTGGTGCCTAAATGTCTCCGCCACCCGGAAGAGTGGATATGGGTATGGAAGGAAAAGGGAGTGGTTGAGAAAGGTGAGCCCGAGAAGTGCAGAAGCCCTGAGGCTGGAGTGGGGGAGGAGGTGGTAAAGAGCCCAGCTCGGTCCTGCAGAGAGGAGGGCAGGCGGGTCCTTCTATTCCAGGAAGAGCCCCGGGCCTTCCTTGGTTTCCTGCCATTCCCAGGGCCTGGCACAGAGTAGGCGTGCCAGAAAGGCGGCTTCCGTGGACAGTGTCGATGACCACAAGGTCTGTGGTCCACCAAACCACCACCACCAACACGACTGCTTACCTGATTTTCTCTCCCTCTTGACCTTGAGTGGCAGACATAGCGCCTATTATCCCCTTTCACAGATGCGAAATTGAGGCACAGTGATTGGCTGAGGACATGAATCTACAGAGGTGGAGGCGGGACTAGATCTTAAACACCAGCGCTCCTCCCACTGCCCTCACCTTTCCTCCTGGGGAAGCCCACTGGGCGGGGATGGGGCCGTGCGGGGTCTGACCACCCCTCAGGTGAAGCCGATCGGCTCAGGAACCTGCACGCTCTGCTCTTTTGCTCTGAAAGCCTCCGGGCGTCTCTGACATCAGAAGCTGCCTTGCCACGTTCCTCTCTGCTAGCACAACTAATGAATGATTGCTTCAGTTTCATTAGCTTCCGATTTATGGCTAAACTTTCCAATATTTTCATAGTGCTTGGCTCCAAATCCCCAAATTGCACCCCACTGAGACTGCCGTTGCCACCCTGTCTCCTCGCTTGGTGCCCAGGGAGGAAGAAACCCCATGGGCACCACAGTCCTGTGTGGCTCCCCCTAGGTCTCGGTGCCCAGGCCCCAAGTCCAGCCATGTCCGGGCAGCCCCTCACAGCCCCAAACATCTCTGTCTTCCCCACTAGAAGCTTTCCAGAGTCCATCCCGACAGCGCCCCCTGCGGCTGACACCAAAATCCGACCCTGACAAGTCCCCAGACTCCCAAGACGCTGGCTTCATCCGCTCCCGGCCCAGCGCCAAGTATTCCTGGCGCAGGGGAGGCAGATGGGTGACCCCAGACACAAGTCCCTCCGGGTCCCCACTTCTGAGCCTGCCTCCACCCCCCACCCGCACCCTGCACCCCCTGTGCTGCTGGCTGCTCTTCCAGCCTCCGCTGAGAGGCCCTCAGGGTGGGCCGGAGCTCTCTGAGCTGGCCAGAGGCCACAGCCCAGAGCAGCTTTGCTGGGGGAAACTGGAAATTCGACTTCTCCACAGTGAGCGTGGCCAGCTGGAGGCCGCCTCCTGCCAGCTGGCAGAGGAGGGGGGTTGGGGACAGGAAGTAGTGTGGCCAGGCACCTGCCCAGCCCCCCACGTGACAGGAGCCACCGGCATTTACAGCGTGAAGCCGCTGGATGCCCCAGTGGAGGTGCTAAGCCACAGAGGCGGTGGGGCCCCGCCAGTCCTGGACAGATGGAAAGATGTTAACAACTCGAAAGGAAGACTGAGTTGGCGGAAGGAGCCTGGGCCAGCCCCGGAAGCCCAGGAGTGCCAGTCCAGCCCACAGCTGACCTGGGCGCCGCACCCCTGCCACGGGATCCTTTCCAGTCCCCCCAGCAGGGGCGAGGGGGCACTGCAGAGACCCAGCTGAGTCCCACCAAACCTGCATCCCTCTCCCACGCCCCTTCTTCAAATACCAGGTTCACCCAGCCACTGGCTGGCAGGGATTTGCTTGCTGGGATCCTGTGCCCACAGGGAGAGCCCACAGGTCCTGCTGAGCCCAGAATATCAGGCTGGGTGGCAGGTGCTTCTCAATGTAAAGTGATACCTTGGCTTTCAGACTCTGCTTTCCTGTCTCCCCTTCACCCCTGCCGACCCCACCCCTGCCCAGAAGGCAGGGCTGCTCTGATGGGAGCAGGTGCCAGAGTGGGCGGCAGGAAGAGGGCGGGGGACATACCCAGGGTGATTCCCCCGTCTGGGCAGCTGCTGGCTCCTCGGCCACCCGCCTGAGCATCGCAGCGCCCCCTGCATCGTGCTTGCCCCTCCACTGCCCAGTTCTCCTTTGGTAGGAGGAGGAAGGGTCAAGTGACCTGCCCAAGGCCAAGTCAACAGCGGCAAGACTCCGGGGCAGCTGTGATTAGGGCCTTGACATAAGTCTGACCTGGGTTTGAATCTCAGTTCCACAGCCTAGCAGCCATGTGATTTGGGCTCAGTGAGGCAGCCTGTCTACATACCTGTTCTCTCACCTGTGCAAAGGTGCCAGTCCTGATCCTGCCCAAGGAGTCACCTCTGTATCTCCAAAACGGCTTATGTACCAAAGATGCCCACCTTCCCATCCCTGCCTGCGTGTCTCTAAACTTCTGACAGCACCACTTAGGTGTTTCATAGGCATTTCAGATAAAGCGAGGTTAAAATTGAAAACACATGCACGCCAAATTCCACTTCCCAGAGAGAGACCTTTACCATTTGCTCGGGTCCAGTACCTAGCTTTTAGTTTCCTTAATGACCTTTGTGTTTGGTTTGGTTGGTTTTCTCCTTAGCACACATCACCATCTAGCATCCTCTGTGTGTGTGTGTGTGTGTGTGTGTGTGTGTGTGTGAGTTGCTCTCTCGTGTCTGACTCTTTGCGACCTCATGGATTGTAGCCTGTCTATGGAATTTCCCAGGCAAGAATACTGGAGTGGGTTGCCGTTTCCTCCTCTAAGGGAATCTTCCTGGCCCAGGGTTTGAACCCAAGTTTCCTGCATTTCGGTCAGATTCCTTCCCATCTGAGCCGCCAAGAATCGCCCTAGCATCCTGTATCTTTCACTTGTCCATTGCATCTCCTGACCGCATCTCTCTCCCAGGCTGTAAGTTATTTAAGGGTGGGGGGCTTTGTCTGCCTTGTTCACTGCTGTGTCCTCAACATCTGGAACAGTGCCTGGGACCCTGGTGCAGAGGCTTAATTCACGAAAGATAATGCTAACCTTCCAGGGTTGCTACAGGGATAAGACGAGTTGTAAGCAAGTTTCTAACCACTCCCCTGTTTCTGAGGCTCAAGCTCCAGTCATAGAGGTTTCTCTACCACCCACCCCTACATGTGCACAGACTTCCCTCCCTTTCAAGCTCAGCAGTGCCCTGGGCTTCGTGTCTGCCTAGGACAACCCATAGGGTCCCAGAAACAGCCCCATGCTGAGGGCTGGTACTCCTTCCGGTTCCCACCAGCACCAGAAAGGAACCCAGACATAAAATAGCCACCCTTGTCGTCTCAGACACACCTCGGATAAACACAGAGAGGATCAGTGGCTGCTGAAAAACTGGTTTCCTCAAGGGCAGGGAAAGCGTCCTCTTATTATTAGTCAATAATTTCAAACTTACAAGAAGGTTTCAAGCA